AATTTCTGACGAGCGCACGATACTAAGTTAAGAATACAGAAAGTTGGAGTAACAGTTAAGAGCTGACTGCTCCTTACATCGAAAAGACGCGAGATAACCATAGAGCTGTAATGTATATAACAGGTCTCTGGAAATAACGCGTGATTTTTCGACTAACTTAACATCTCCGTTAATGAAAAGGGGAAATGCTGTGTGTTAAGAAACGTGAACGAACTCAGTATTTATAATTGAATTCGGTATGTTTGTTACAATGTAAATATTTTGGGGAAACATTTTATTATTCATTGTTTGAATTTTTAGCTTAAAATGAAAGAGACGGTTATTGTAAGGTTCATCCAGCCGTTGCTTATTAAAACAGTTTTGGTTTCAAATACTGTTTATTAGTTTCAAATACTGTGGCTTTAGAAGCAGGAGAAAATCTGCTTTCAAATAGCCAGTTGCTGCTCATGAATGCAGCCGTCGATCTCGTCAATATGAATGAACAGCCGTTTACATTTAAATATAACGTATAATTAGGGAAACTTTATTTTCGTTTTAATATTTTTAAATGCTTGACAAAATGCCGTGAGGCAGTGTTACTAATAAAAATTCCCGAAACTAGCCTAGTCTCTTTCTCGTCTGATGACAAAACGCCATTGGAATTTAAACATACTCGAAGCCCATTTATCAGTAAAAATGGTCATGCACTTTTCTTTAAAGGTTTTCTTTCTTGTACGATAAGGTTTCAAAAGTCTGTGAGGTACTCCAGAAAATCAAAAATTTGTGTTTAAACTTATGTGAGAAGATTGTTGAAGGAATCCATATGTACAAGCATTGCCACCGATGGCATAAATCAAGCATCATCTTTTATCGTGAAAGGTAGTCTTCGGTCACTCATGAGTTGATCTATTACTTCATCCTTATCATCGAATGTCTTTACTGAATCTAACAGTTCACGAAGAATTTGGAAGCTGCAGTAAGCAAATAAATAAGTCATTATGGTGCTGGTGTTTTGGCATTTATTAAGTGTGATTTAAATTCACCCTTTATCAAGGTTTTACGAAAGCATAAAAAAATATTTCTATAGCATCTTACTGTAATTAACAAAACAATACAATAGAGTTTTCAAACCGCTTGATTTGATAATTTTTCTACACAGAAAATAAAAATAAAATGGTGCTTCTCCGTTATGCTCCTTCCTCACTTTATAGTGAGTGTGAAAGAGAAACCAAACGCATGCCAATACCCAGCGGTAGCTTCATCTGAAGATTATGTGTGCAAGAAGGGTGTATGCAAACAAACACACATACACACATTACTGTAGTAGTGCTTCCAAAATGTTTGGCAGGTGCATAACGGAAAAGTAATTAATAAATAACTTGATGAATAATTAGGTGGTGGGCACCTGTAAAATCTCGAACAAAATGTGCGTCATTTTTTCATTCGTGCGGGAGCTAGAACGTTTCCTAGCAAGCTATAATTACTTCGGGAACTATTTAGAACACTTTTGCATAATACCTTATTTTATTTGCCCAAAGAGGCGATATGTTTGTAATATTTCAACGAATTTTTGATTAAAAAACTATACGATATCAAAGCGAGCAACGGCAACACTAAGGGGAAAAAAAAATTACTTTTTTCTCCAGCGCGCGAGACTGTGTATCGGAAATTCTTAAAATTATTGCGATATTGCTGTTGAACTGAATTTTACGGTTTGAGTACGTAGAACATGATATTTAATAAATAAAGGTTACAAAACATAAAGTTTTAATAAATAAAGGTTAACAAAACGTTAAAAAAAAAAAATCTGAAGCCTTTCAGATTTTGCTTTTTTTTAGTCCAAAGGGGCTTTGTCCCTGAAGGATTTTTGTTTTCGTTTTGCGATTTTGCGTTGGTTCACTATAAATGTCCGTTTCACTTTTCAAACTGTTGCCACCAAATGTTAGAGTCCTGCATTATATTTGAAGAAATTAAATAATGAAAAATCTGTTTAAATACATGTAGCATTGTGATAAAACAACGATACCTAGAGTCATCCAATTTTGAAGAGTGTAACGTGTATACGAGCCAGTTCCCCTTAGAAAGTCCTCCACGAAGGCATCCCTCCCCTTAGGCAGATAGCCCTCGTGTGCTTTGCCATAATTAAATACACCACACACCACCACCACCAATTTTGAAGAAAATAATCTTACTGCGAACATGGGCGTTGGAATTTGTTTTATTATCGATTTCAGATTTTGTAAAACTTTAAGGAATTTTTGATTAACAAACTCAAGGATTTCAAAGAGAGCAACGGCGAAGTTGTACAGAAAAAAAAATTTTCATCTGCAGCGCGCGAGACTCTGTATCCGAAATTCTAAAGATATGCTCCATTTAAAAATATTTTGCGATATTGCTCTTGAACTGAATTTTATGGTTGAAATGCGGAGAACGAGATATTTAATAAATAAAGGTAACAGACAAAATGTTAAAAAACGCCCCTTTGGACGTAATTTAAAATCTGAAACCTTTCAGATTGTTTATTTACTTATTTTCTTTGCATTATTAGCTCAAACGGTGTTTGCCTAGAAAGGCTATTAATTTCGTTTTGGCATGTTGCGTTGATTCACTACAAACGGCGAAACACTTTTTAAATTGTTGCCACGAAATATTTGAGCTCTTTATTATATTTAAAGAAATTAAATAATGAAGAATCTGCATAAGTGTATGTATGTTTCACGCATTGTGATAAAACAACGGTACCTAGAGCCATCAAATTTTGAACAACGTACGTCTCCACCCGTATATATACATATATTATCTATTTTACTGTTTATATTCAGCCTATTTTTTTGGGAATCAATTGTTACTCTGGGTAGTGAGTGACACTTTGATTTACTTATTCGCTTCATGTTAAATCTCTCGACTGCATATTCACCATTTAAAATATCTAATAAGCATAAAAGCCCTCTGTTAAAGTGTATAACAGCCATATATTCTCCCAATTTAAGAGTTTATAATTCCCAATGGCATCCATCGGTATAAATTTCAAAAAAAAAAAAAAAAAAAAAAAAAAAAAAAAAATGTCATTAAAATTTTGTTTGCATTTTGTGTCTTTATTTATAAGTACTTCTATAAGAGCTTCTCACATAGTTTTATATATATATACACTCTAAAGAATATTAATTTCATTCATTGGCCAGTCCTTTGGATTTGTTTGTGTATGCTCTTCCAATTGATACAGCTCGCTGATATTTACAAAAAAATGTCTGGTCCATCTGGGCGCTGATCTGTAGAGGCAACTTTGCACTAGAGAAAGTGTGAAAAAATGGGGGAATTACAGCACTTTCCATTCAATTTTCCCGATTCTAACTTTGTTTTGAAGTTTGTCAATAAAGACATCCATTAGTGAGTGACGTTGACCCATCCATCAAGATATTTCTGTTTTCTCTTCAATTTTCTAATTCTGGAACGGGACTTCTGACTATGACTTATACGTTTAATTTGGTGACACTACTTAAATATAAATATCTTTTACTTCACAAGTCACTTTCGAAAACATTTCCTTCGCAACCCGTTTCATAAATTTGTTCCTTACGCATTTATGTTTACAAACATGGTTTCGATTTTTTATCACCTTTTATTATACTTTTAATTAGAATGTTATTAAAATAATCGAAGACTAAGATGACTATAATTGCGATGTTTTGAATCAAATCACATTCATATGCTAGCGAGGACATATGCTTTTTATGGTAATTAATAAATATATTGTGCATTTTATTGGAAATAATTTCATGTTGCTGCATAGATTACAGATAAGATTCTTTTAATTCCCTTTATTTAAAACTCTTTACATTATATTTCAAAGGTAAAAAAATTATTTATGGCCATTTCTAACTCTTTTCAATCCTTTGAATGTGCACTTTCGGTGATTTAAATGCCCATTTCCGGTTTTCCCATCTTTATGAAATTCTTAATATCTCGGTTTCTAATTAACGCAGAAACAAAAGCAGACAAGTTTTTGAAAGCTAAATGGACAATCTATCTTATGAACGAATAAAAGAAGATTGCCATTTCTTTTTTTTTTTTTTTTTGGTCAAAACTGGTCTTTTCAACGTGTTCGGATGAAGAATCTGCATAAGTGTGTGTATGTTTCTCACATTGTGATAAAAAAACGGTTCCTTGAGCCATCAAATTTTGAATAACGTAAATGATCATCTGGAAACCCTGGAATTTGGAATTTGTTTTATTATCGATTTAATATTTTGCAACATTTGAACGAATTTTTGGTTAACAAACTCAACGATTTCAAAGCGAGCAATGGCAACACTGTATAAAAAAAAATATCTGTAGCGCACGAGACTGTGTATCGGAAATTCTAAAGATATGCTCTAAAGATTGCCGTTGAACTGAATTTTATGGTTTTAAGTGCGACGAACTTGATATTTAATAGATAAAGATTTTGAAACACAAAACTTTAAGAAAACCATCTTTTGGACGTAATGTAAAATCTGTGAGCTTTGAGATTTTTTTTTTTTTAAATTTAAAGTCGTATGATTTTAATTATATTATGCTCTTCATTGATTTTAAAAGGTCTTATTAATCCCTTCTGTCTCTCTTTTTTTTTCCTCTTATTTTAATTACAGTCTGGCAGTACTAACATCTTGTTGAAAAACAAAATTAGGACAGTAAACAAAGAAGTTTGATTATAAGTATGTTTAGAAGTACGTTCAAAAGTTATTTTAGTTAGAAATTATTAACTAGAAATCTACAGCTTAATTAACTTGCCGTATTTTGCAAATGACTTCATAATATATATTAATTTGAACGGTAAATATTCACTGTAATTGAGGTACTTTTTAATAAAAATAAAAGTTGGGAAGTAATTATTAGTTTTCATTTATCGCTAGAAGCATGCCTAGTACTTATTTCATAAAGTATCAGCAATAGTTAATAAGGAGTGCAACATCTGATTTTCAAAACTTGCGCCACTGACAATGTGATCCCCCTCTCTCCCAATCCTATCTCAATTTGATCATAACAATAACTCGAAGTAAACATAAAATGGCGTACGATGTTTTGTCGTGCTGAATGTTTTCATTCTGAGAGGTCATTCACGATTAGTTTGGAGCAATTTTTGTAAACTAAATATGATGGTGATTAAACTTAGAGGAATGAAAATTTTAAAATGCTGAAGAATATATGTATCCGTTTCCTTTAGATTATGTAATTCCTGAACATTTTGTCTGGTTTCACAACACCTAAAGAAGACGTCACTTTAGTTTCCTAATTCTGCTATGATTCTTAGAACACTGACGAAAGATTTTAGATTCATGGCTGGGAAAAATTAGCCTAAAAGGTGTACCACGAGGGTGATGGGGTTACAAAATATAAATTAATTAATTTCAAACTTTTTTTTTTCTTATCCAAAAGTAAGTATTCGAATTGTTTAAGTCGGACTGTATTTGCAAAAGAAACTTTTTTAACATTTGTTGTTAGGAATTTTGATATAAATTATTATGCAAATATGAATTAAGCAAAAAAAAATTTTATATAAATTTCAGTTTGTTAATATGATAAGTATATGTACAGCATTACGGATCAAAAAATTATCGTAATTGTTTTTTTATAGTGTGAAATGCTAATTTAAAATATCACTGCATTATTTAAAAATATAGCTTTTAAATGTTTCATAGTTCTTAATATTTAAATTTTGTGTCCAATAAATTCATGTATCTGAAGTTGCATTAAGTATCTGGATAGTTTTAAAGTAAATTTTTATATTCATTTATTCATTGCTGAAGTCTTTTATTTTGATTTTTGAAATTAACACATGCGATCATTATGCTGCTTTAATGAACTTGTAATGAGTTAAAAGTTGATTATTAATTATTGTAGTACATCAAAAACGAAAGCTTGTTTTCTAATAAATAGTTTTTAAAAAATTGTTATTAGCATTTATGGATTTTAGTATGCAGTCCCATAAATTTATTGATACATGATTATGTTTTCTGAGGTATATCCAAATTTGAATTGTGCATTTTTTATGTTAATAATTTCACTTTAGACTGTTATTGTGTGTCAAAAAGTCCATTGTTATGAGGAAGTTCTTTGAAGTGTATTTTTTGTTTCTAATTGTATTAACCATTTTTTAGGATTTTTTTCTGCCCCCCTTTTTTTTATTTGCAAGGAGTTTGAGAAATAAAAACTGCAAATATGTTGTATGTGTTTATTGTGAGTTCTGGAACCATGATGAAATTTGACATGAATCTAGCTGTGAAAAAGTAAGTAGAATAGGTTTGCTTTATTCTGCTTTAAGCAACTAAAATTCATATGAACATTAATTTCATTATGAATTTCTTGATTTAATGTATTCTTGCATAAAATTAATTTATATGTGCTACAATCAATAATGATGAATGTTCTTAGATTTTTGAAAGTTTATATTTGTGATGCACATTGATCGTTTTCTTGCTAATTTACTATAATTTTTTTTAATTAAATTTCATTTTACATTAACTTAATTGCATTCATAAACTTAATTGCTGGTAAACTTTGAATGTTTATAGATGCCAAAGTATGCTAGCTTTAAAGGTAAAATTATTGCCTTTATTCAACTATGCGTGTGAAATTTTGAAATTAGTAATGTTTTAGGATCAAGGGTTAAGACAAGGGACAGAATTTTTTATAGTGTGCTATCTTGCAACTTTATGTTTTTTTATTGCATACAATTTTCATAATAATTAAAGAAAATAAGATTTATATGAATGAGCATCTCTCTGAATAGTAGAGGACAGGAGTTTTGGTTTTGAAAAGAGATTTATTTTCAGTGTGTGAAAGAAAAGCTGTGAAATCAAAATGTTTATCTCAGTTTGATTCTTAATACAAAAGTGTGTAAGAGTGGGTGCAGATTTAAGAATTGAGAAAAAATATAGTACTCTTTTGTTATGGGGACCAGATTCCATATATATACACATATATGCATTCGTACGTACAATGGCTCAAGCAGCTGAGAATACACCTTACTTTTATTTGAAGAATCTTAACTTTCAGTGTAAATAACACATTACCAAGAAGCGGAAACATTCTTTTAATTTTACACATAACAGTTCATTTAATTTAAATTAAAAGTAAAAGACAACGAAAAAATCTTGAAAAAAAAAAAAAAAAATTTAGAATCGTTTTAAATAAACATATGCAGATTTTTGCCTAAAAAAATTTAGAATACACCTATGAAATATATGTTTAACTACCACTACATTTTTTCTATGCAGCTTCTATTTTAATCTAATGTTGCATAATTTTTCACTTTTATGATGAAGTTTGTTGTATGAAATAAAGACACACTTTTAAATAGGAAGTGGCTCCTCAAAGAGAAACGAGTATTGACATCAGGAAATCCCTGCTAAGATTATATGAAAAAGGAAAATCTTATCGTGAGATAGATAAAATTGTTAGTAGAAGTTGCATGTGGGTCCAGAAAATCATTGGAGAATTTAAAAGTGATGGATTGATTGAAAGTAAAAGTGAAAGAGGAAGGAAAGGTGTTCTGAGTAATGTTGCCTAAAGGACCTAAAGTAAGTGCAGTCAAACTTATTGCAGAAAATTCTCAAATCATTAGCAGAAGTTAGGTGCTGAAACTGTGCGAATTGTAATTCAATGAGAAGGATATAAAAAGAAACCATGCATCAGCTTTGCAAAATTAGAAAAAGTGGTGTTTCTGAAAACTCCTGAATTGAAGGTGAATAACTTTTGAAAGAAAGTTATGTTCATTGATGAGAGTAAATTCAACATTTTCAGTAATGACGGTTTTTGCACTGTATGGAGAAAGCCCAACACCATTTTGGATCTAAAAATTTTATGTCGTTAAACAGGATAGTGACTAAACATGATAGAAAGTACTAAAAAGATAAGTTTAGAGGGAAATTTCATATTCCATTACAACAATGACCTCCAACACATGGCACATAACTTTGTGGTGTTTTCTCATTGAAACCAGAGCTGTGGAGTGGGTAGGGAAAATGACTGATCTGACTCCTGGAATTTTAAATATTCCAACTACCTCATATAATATATATATCTATATGTACAGTGTTTTTTTTTTTAAACTGACGGTACTCAGAGATCTCTCAAAGTTGAACTATCAGCCGCAAAGCCACGAAATTTTGTACAGGGACTATTGATGACATGGGGAAAAGGAATCAGCGGAAAAAAATTAGTTTAAAAAATTGCCGATAAGGGAAAATGGGGCGCTTTACACTTTACAATAGCTAAAATTTTGCATAAAACACGGGAAAAAATTACGAAATCCTGATTATGTAGTCGACACCAGCGCCAGTATTTTGAGTTCCATTCAGCTGTAGAGAGTATGGTGAACAGAATTCAATGCTTAGTCCAAGAAAATTGAGGTCATATTGAAAATGGCCGATAGCTTCCTTGATAAAGCGATTCTACTGAATAAAAACAAAAGAACAAAGAATAAAAGGAAGTCGAATAGAGTGTTCTCTTTTTTTTTTTATAATTTGCAACCACTTACAGAAGTTACTTTTTAAAATAAAGCATATTTGTGGAAAAATTAATTCTTTGTTATTCATTTATCTGTTTACTGTAACTTTTTAAAGTGGTCAGAAATTTATCGTGTAATTAAAATTTAGATCAAAGCGTCGTATTCCCCGTATCGGCAACTTTTGGAACTACATTTTTTTTTCCATGGATTCCTTTTCCCCATGTCGTCAATACTCCCTCTACAAAGTTTTCTGTCTTTGCAGCGATAGTCAAGCTACGAGGCTCTGATCCATCAGTAAAAAAAAAAAAAATCTCTGTATACAGTCAAAAGTCATTAATCCGGATTCGTTGGGACTTCGGCGATTCCAGATTATCGATTTTTCCGGATCATAGATCATCAGTTTAAATAATCTGGTAAGATGGCATGCAGAAATTACAAAATTAAAAATATGAAACCATAATTTATGAAATAAAGAACAATTATGATCTAAAGGGTATCAAAATTTACAAAAAAAAAAAGCTTAATATTTATTTGTTTACTTTATTAAACATTTCCTTCAATGTAAGTTGTTTAGTTCTTCGTTTTGTGATAATACTTTCTCTTTAATTCTATTAAACAGACATAATTTCTTGTTTAGTTACAAAGTTCCGCTGTTTCAAGTCCTATAATTGCTGTGTTGAGAATACCGACTAATTTGTCAATCGAAATTTTTCGTTTTCAATAACCTCTGGGTCACTTTCTTCACTATCGGAAGCGAATTATAATGACGCGAGGAACTTGATTTAAATCATATCAAAGACGGAGTACATCGAGATGAAATACTACATTTAGTAAGGAATTATAAACCAAATAAAATAAAAACATCTCTGCTGAAGATGCTGAAGATAAGGATAGTGCTGACAGATCAACTTCCAATTCATTGCGCGGCAAAACCCCTTCAGAGCAGCGTTAGATTGATAAACGGATTTCGGAATGGTTAGAGAAACAAAGGATTATGCCTTTATCCCTTTTTTGCAGCAATTCCACTTTTGTTTGATGGACATTCGAAACATACTTCGCTTTGTAGATCCTTTGGGAGTCCATATCGGAAATTCTGTTTGACATAATCGAAAGTTCAAGCTTACTTTTCTAAAATTGCTCTAACAGTCTTCAAAAAATAATAAGCCAGATCCATTTCGAAGATTAAGGAACAATGCAATCTGCAACATTAACTGAAATAGATAATTAGGTAATTTTAGCTTATACCGTCTGTTATACATTAAACGCGCGTGCGTAAACGTATTATGTGCATGCGCACACGCATATGCGCAGCCGTAAAGGTCTTACGAGCATGCGTAAACGCCTATGTGCAGAATGTTTGTAGCTTTGAGGTCCAGATTATAGATCATTCCGGATTATGTGTGTCTGAATTAACGACTTTTGACTCTATATGTAAACGTATACACGTGGGTTACAGCTTAATTTTTTAATATAAAAGAAGTAATAGATGCTACAGAAAAAATTGATGGCATAGCAAATTATTTACATTAATCGGCATTTATTACGAAATGGAAAAAGTGGCATCAGTTATTTCTAAGAAACAGTGTAGTATCGGCAAGATCTTTTTTGTTGGAGGGCCATAGATCTGATTTGATAAACTTCAGAGCTGTGAAGAGTCTTTCCACTCTAACTTGAGTAGGAGGAAGAGCTCTTACTGTCAGAGCTACTTCTTTTAACTTTTCAGGATAGATTTTTAAAAGTTCTAAAAGAGGTGTCTTGCAAGCGCAATCATATTTCTCTGTTTCTTCAAAGGCCGTGTAGAAATTTGTTTGTATTTTTTCATTTTTATATCTAAAGGCTCTTGGCTCTTTATTTTCATTCACTTTTAGCCTTAGCTTTTTCCATATTATCCAAAAATATTTCTCAAAATCTAATTCATCACCGGAAGAGGATGGTAGAGACTCAATTGCTATGTCTGCAGTTTGATTGTTCTGATTTGAGTTTTCCAATTGTTATGAGAATAATTTTATTCTTCATGAAAGTTCATAGATGGCTTTCTTTGCCTTTTTAATTTGTTCGTCATCCAAGAAAATTCAGTGTTTCGGTGCCCTGGCTTTTTAAATGTACCATAAAAATGCCTAAAGGGAACACCGGACATTAAATTTAAAACCTGCACAGAAATTTACTTTGCAGAACAACTTTATAAAAGAAAAGGTATTGCATATTTAAAAAATTAGAATGAAATAAGCAATATCCCTTAATATAAATATTAACTATCCAAATAAATAAATTAACTTCTCGTTGCAAAATCTTAAGAATTCAAATGCTATAAAGGAAGTTAAGAACTTCGTTTCCTAAAACAGAATCATGCAAACTTTTTTATATAATTAAAACATAATACAGTACAAAGTCCGAAATCCGGACTTGTCGGGACTTCGATGATTCCGGATTTGGGATTTTTCCGGATATTAGATCATCAGTTTAAATCTAGTAAGATGGCATGTAGAAATTATAAAATTAAAAACATGAAATAATGAGTATTTAAGATCTAAAGGGTATCAAAATTTAAAAAAAAAAGCTTAATATTTATTTGTTTGCCTTATTAAACATTTTTTTAAATATAAATTGTTTAAGTTGCTTCATTTTTTGTGGTAATGCTTTCTCTTTAATTCTATAGACAGACATAAATCTCTTGTTTCGTTACATTGTTGAAGTCCTGTAACTGCTGTTTGGAGAATTCCGACTAACTTGTCAATCGAAATTTCTCGTTTTCAGTAACTTTTCTATCACTTTCTTCAC